CCCAGCAGGCCCAGAACCCAGCAGACCCAGGGCCCAGCAGGCCCAGAACCCAGCAGACCCAGAACCCAGCAGGCCCAGAACCCAGCAGGCCCAGAACCCAGCATGCCCAGGGCCCAGCAGCTAATCTCTCCTCTGATGCTCTGCCCTCCTGGCACATAGTGGCTTGGAGGACGGTCCCTCTCGAGATCTGGGAGGAAAGGAATTCTGGGGCAGTAACCCTGGAGGTCAGCATGAAGGTCAGCACGTAGGGGGAGGCTTTGCTAAACCCTCGATGCCACATTGGAGGACAAGACCCAAGGTACCCAGCAGGAGGACACTAGATGTCATGCCCCAGATTCACAAAGCACAAGCTCAATTAGGATCAGTTCAATGTTCCCCCCTTTTCCCCGAGACTGCTAATACAGAAGCATGCTGACGTATTTTAAAGGACCCAAGGAGAAAGTCAAAGGTCACCTTTAGGGAACAGGGTCCATAGGTGATATTCCAGCTCAGGTGACCAAGCCACCAGATAATGCACTAGGAAGGAAACCACCACCCACCACATCCCGACACGCAGCGGGGAGCACTCTCGGAGGGAGACGAGGCAGCGGGCCGGGGCCACACCTGCAATCCCAGCGATTCGGGGGGCTGAGGCAGGAGAACTGCAGGCTGGAGGCCAGTCTCAGCACCTTAGTGAGGTCCTGGGGTGCAGCTCAGGGTGGGGCACCTGCCTAGCATGTGCAAGGCCTGGGCTCGACAGTCAGTACCGAAAAAAAATAAGAAAAATGTCCTTTTTCCACATCAGCAAAAACTGACGATCCGTCGTCAGCAAGTTGGTGCTAAAAGAAACCCAAAGACCCTGGGTGAGAAAAGGGCGGGAAAGGACCCGGTGGGAACAGCGTGGATGACAGTGGAGGACTGACCGGGACTGACACGTGGCTCCCACGCGAAGCACAAATGGACCCAGCCCTGCACCCAACAGCGACTGTCAGGCCAGAGGGGACACTGCCTGTGGCTCTCTCTCCAGCACCAGGTCCAAGACCCGACAGAGAAAAGCAGAGCAGTCAGTCCCCAGTGCCGAGGGTTCTGCCTGGAGAGTCCAGCAGTCAGGGCCGGGTCAGCACTGAGCGTGGGCACCTGCCTGGCTGCGACACCGACAAGGCCGTGTGACAGCCGCTGAGGGGCCTGGCGCTGCCTCAGGAGCTGAGTCCTCTAGAGGTGGAGGTGCAGAGGTCCCGGCAGACACTGGGCCACGTTGGGCAGCTTGCAGATGAGTGGCCTGGCCAACCAGGGACAAGTGAAGGAGGGAAAGCACCATCCAGCAGCGAGCCCTCCCGCACGCCAGAGCTGGCGCGGTGGCCTCATGGCAGGGTGCGGAGGGCGCCGGGCCCAGGTGAGAAGTCGGCACAGCCAGGCAGGAGCCCCACTGTGAACTCTCCTGGGCTAGTGACATACAGGGCAGCCTTGTGACCACGAGGGCCGAAACGCACATGCACACAGGCCTCTAGGGGGCCAGGCGTGGGGGCTGGGGTGGGCAGTCAGGCCCTCGCTGACTCCCCCGGAGACCGACAGGTGCAGGCCGTGGCCCAGAGCCCAGCCCAGGAGGGACTAACACCATCAAAAGAGAAGCTGGCGGGTGCCCACCTGCAGCCAGACAGCTGGCCTTTCTTTCTGGGTACAGGTATGAGAAGCTGACCAAGAAGACAGAAACGACATGAACGTGACCCATGTGTCCACCCAGAGCGCACGTGGCTCTTGCGTGCCTGGAGCGTCCAGGAAAGCAGCCCAGTGGCTCAGGAGGCGGGAAGCCGGGCTCCCTCCCCACAGAGCCTCCAGGAGTGAAAGGGAGAAGGCACCTCAGGACGCCCAGGTCCTGGAGAGCAAGCAACATCCTCTAAACCTGCAGCTCTGGAGGGAGGCCAAGGTGCCAGGACGCCCTCGAGAAAGTGGTAAGGGCGGTGGACGCTGTGGAGGTCATGCTCGGAGGGGAACAGGCAGACCACACGTGGTAGGGAGGAGGAGGGGTCCAAGAGCTCTCCAGTGCAGCCTTGCCTCCTCAGGCAGCACCCAGGACGCCCGAGCCGCCGAGGGTGGACGTGACGCAGATGGGCAGAGGGAGTCAGCAGGACAGAAACAGGGCAGCACCAGAAAAGGTGACGGAGGAGACCATGTACCTGACAGGTGTTTGCAAGACTGGTGGACCCCGGAGCACTCCCAGACCCCAGGCCCTGCAGACAGCCAGACTCAAAACTGACCACTACCACACTTGCAGACAGCCGGCGGTCCCGGGYGGAAATGCCCTGAAGCCCCCGTTAGCCACGTTCAGCTTCCATCCCCAGGAGCCACGGGACCCGCGGAGGCAGAGGCCACCGCAGAAGCCCGTGGGGCCTAGAGATGGGGACCCCGTACTCTTTCAGGACGCCCCAGGCAAACTGCAAAGCCCTGCCAGGCACTCCCAGAAGGCCACCGTGGGACCAGGAGGACCAGGGCTGGCTGGCCAAGGAGCTCACTGACAGAGGGAACAGGAGAAACGGAAGGGTCCTCTCCTCTGCCAACGGCAAAGGCCCACCTTGTGCCCAGCCACATCAGTGTCACGAAACCCTGACTCAGGACAGGCGGGACCTTGGCAAACAAGACAGGAAAGTGAGACACAGGCACCACCGGAGGGCGGTCAGAGGACACGTTGGCCACAGCCCTCTGCGGAAGCACGAGGTCCGAGACCTGACTTGAGAAACTCGGCCTGCCGTTTACCAGAACATTCCCTCTGAGCAGGCTCCAGGTCCACCTGGTGAGTCCTTCCACGGAAGTTAGGAACAGCATCATCCTCCACAGAACGTCCACGGCCTTGTTTTGATGTTTGTTTTTTTGCTGTAGTTGACACGAGACCTTTATTTCATTTACGTTTAGGTGGTGCTGAGGACCAAACTCTTGCTAGGCGAGCGCTCTGCCACTGACCCACAGCCCAGCCCCTCCCCAGGGTCTTAAAAAGCTCCATTTATTTTCTAAGACCAGCACAGCCCTGAGTAGCCACCAGAGGACAGCGTCCATCACCCAACAGCAAAGTCAGAGGCCACTCTGCTTCATGACACCCAACAGCATCAGCAACCTGCCCGCCCCAGGGAGACAGAGCTGGTCAGCTGCCAAGGCCAGGGTTGGCAGAGAGGAGAAAGGCCCAGCATGTGGACACAGCTGCCCCCGGGGCAGTCCCCAGGAGCACGGCAGGAGCTCCTTCATGGGAGGAGGGGTTCCCAGGCGGACACTCCACAATCGACCCCTCCAGTGGAGAGGTTTAAAGGCCGTTCCCTGTCACAGGCGCAGGAGGATGCTGCTGGGCACTGCACCCATCCCACGTGCTTGGAAAGATGATGGGTGCCTGGGAACGAGATAAGGAAAGGGAGAGAGGCCTGTCGCCGGCTGAGGAAGTGGCCATTCCCGTGGGGAACCTCGGGAACGGGAGGCAGAGTGCCAGGGCTGGCTGCTGCCTACGGGCACGGGCCAGCTGACCGTGCCCCTCCACACATTTGCTCGAGCAGCCAGAGAGCAGACTCTCCGCAGGACACGGCTTGGATTCACCTGACAAGGACTCGGGTGCCGGCTTCCACCTGCAGAGGTCTGCAGGGGGCTGATGGAAAGGCTCAGGTGGGCCTCTCTGCTGCCGTCTCCTTCACTCTGACCTCCTGGATCCAGGAACCAGGTCGACCTGATGAGCACCTTGTGAGGCGTCAAAGCTCCCCCCAGGTGACAGCAGCCTCTCACCTGGGACAAGGCTCTGCCCAGCCACGCCTGGGAAACAGACCTGGTCAGCTAGAGGCACTGCCCCGCTACGGTCCTCCGCAGAATGGCCTTCCCTCTGGTGGACCTGGGAGCCTCCCAGGAGGCTGGAGGTGCCACGGGTTGGGCTCTGCGACGCAGAGGGCCAGGGTCAAGCTATCAGAAACAGGCTCAGGAGACAGGGTCTGGCGGGGTCGGCCCAAGCGTCCCAGGGTGCAGGTGACGTCGCCTGGCGGCGACAAGCCCTGGGCAGCCCCAGGGGTCAAGAGGGGCTGGTGGGGTGCAGGGGGGGCTCCAGGATCGGGGTCTTTCCCGTCTTCCGCATCCCATCCCAGCCCAGAACTAGCCTCTCTTGGGCCTGCGACCTTCGAGGTGTGTCCCCATCCAGAACCTCTGTCCCCTCCCTCCCAGCCCTGCACACCACCTCTCAGAGGCGCATGTCCTGACCACAATCGGATGCTCCATGGCTCTCAGTGTGGGGACACACCTTCTTAGCAGAGTGTGGCTTCCCCGCAACATGGTCCCCAAACACCTTCCCTGTTCTTTCCCACCAAACCCCTGGTGCTCAGTGACCGTGGCTACTCCTGCGTTAGCCCCCTCCGCACACGTGACCCCCACTCCCAGGCCTCCGTGCCTGGCTTCGTCACCTGCAGGTGCGGCAGGGGCCTCACATCTCCCACCTGAGCATCGCCCTCGCTCCCACCAACCTCGCTGCCACACGCCTCACTCCTGCCCCGTCACAGGGGCACTCGGCTGCTGCCCTTCTTTACCTGGGAATGTCCCCTTGGCCTCTGGATCTGAGTGGAGGCATCACCTGCTGGGAATGCCTTCCTGAAAGCCCACGCTCTAGATGGGTGAGACCCAAGGAAGGGCGAGAGCAGGACAGGTGAGACCCGGGCAGGTGAGACACAAGATAGGTGAGACCCGGGCAGGTGAGAACAAGGAGGGGTGGGACACAAGACAGGTGAGACCCAAGGAGGGGCGAGACCAGGACAGGTGAGACCCGGGCAGGTGAGACCCAAGGAGGTCCAAGACCCAGGACAGGTGAGACCCAAGGAGGGGCGAGACCAGGACAGGTGAGACCCGGGCAGGTGAGACACAAGACAGGTGAGATCCGGGCAGGTGAGAACAAGGAGGGGTGGGACACAAGACAGGTGAGACCCAAGGAGGTCCGAGAGCAGGAGAGGTGAGACCCGGGCAAGTGAGACCCAAGGAGGTCCAAGACCCAGGACAGGTGAGACCCAGGCAGGTGAGACCCAAGGAGATCCGAGAGCAGGACAGGTGAGACCCGGGCAGGTGAGAACAAGGAGGGGTGGGACCCAGGACAGGTGAGACCCAAGGAGGGGCGAGACCAGGACAGGTGAGACCCAAGGAGATCCGAGACCAGGACAGGTGAGACCCAAGGAGGGGTGGGACCCAGGACAGGTGAGACCCAAGGAGGGGCGAGACCAGGACAGGTGAGACCCAGGGAGGGGTGAGACCCAGGATAGCTGAGGCTCCCCACAGGGGTCTCATCCCTGGGAAGCCCACAGTCTCACAGGGCCATCTCCACTGTCCACCCTGGACTGGCTCCTCCCTGAGGATGTGGGACCCTGAAGATGCACCTGGCTGAGGTGAGGTCAAAGCCCAAGCTGAAACACCAGGGCCACGGCCGAGAAGGAAGCCAGGTCCTGCTGGCGTCCAGGAGGCCGCGGCCAGGGAGCCCAGTGGAGCCCCTGGAGGTAGCTCTGCTTGGGACTTGGGCTTCAGGTCCTCTCTGCTTGTGGAGAGCCCTAGGAAAGGCCCTGTGCCCAGCTCCTTCCCCGACCCAGCACATCGGCGGAGATCTGAAGCCCTGTGACCACTGTCTCCAACACCCAGTCGGGGACCAAGTCCACCTACCCGACCACTGGACATTTCCAGACTCTGTCCTGCCTCCCAACACCTCCCATCTGAACCATGGCCCCAGCTGGCCGCCTCCCTGACCCTCCCCAGCCACGCGGTGGAACCTGGGATCAGCAGCATGGCCCACGGGCCTGGGTCTGGAGCCCCAGTGCCGAGTGGTCTATAAGCAGGAGGTGCTGGGTCCCCACCAGCGGGCTGAGGACCAGACACAGCGGGTGCGGCCCTGCAGCGGGCAGGCGTGAGCTGCGACCAGCTCCTTCCTCCAGGGGCTGAGACTCCACCTGCAGCCCCGCCCCGCCCCGGCTCCCTGCAGTCAGCCCTCCAGGGGAGTGGGCCATCAGCATGTTCTAGATTCATTACCAACAGGACCACCAGAACCATGTCGTGGGGAGGGGGAGGCCTCCACTCACAGATGAGAAAACCCAGGCACCCAAGGTCGAGGACTGCCCCCCAGGGAGACTCCAGGTGGCCCAGGGGAAGAAACACCCCACCAGCCTCCAGAGGGACATGGCCCAGCCCACACCTGGCCTGCAGCCCAGGTCCACCTGCAGAACTCTGGAAACACACCTGTGTTGTTTCTAAGCCACCGAGTTGTGCTGATTTGTTCCAGCAGCCCGGGGAAGGTGATCCATGTCCACAAGAACCATGTCCACCTGACCCAAATCTGGTCCATTTCACCTGACCCACGTCCACCTGCCCGGGAATCTACTCAGGTCCACCTGGCCCAAGCCTACCTTCATCCACGTCCACCTGTCCAGGAGAGGTGGAGGGCACATCGGCTAGTCTCTCTTCACAGCCATGGAAACCTGAGACCTGCCTCTTCCACCGCCAGTAGGCCGCGACTTGAGTCTTACAGATGTGCCTGGACAGAGGCTGACCACGTGGACAGAGGTTGGAGGTGTCACTGCAGCCACCCACATGGCAGCCGGCACCCACGGACCTGGATGCAGTAGCCTGGACACAGTGGACACCCAGGGTGCGGTGCTGGGGTGTGCGCCTCAGCTGCTCAACCCTTGTGCCTTGTCTGCGCCAACTAGAGATGCTCCAGGAATCCTGGCCCACGGGCATGGCTAGGTGGCCTCAAACCTGTACATGCTCCATCCCGCCAAGTCCGCAAGCTGCCCACAAGGCCCTGCCCTTGGCCCCAGTCCTCTGCCTCCTCCCGCCCCTCCCGCCGGCAGCACCACAGCCCAGACAGCTCGGCGCCTCCCCCCAGGGGTGCCCAGGAGGGAGCTCACCACAGGCCTGGGCCCAGGGCTCCCAGCCCCACCTCCAGTCCCCCCCAAGAAGCCCTGGCAGGGAAGTAAAGTGGGATGGCATCTCCCCAGAGTCACCCCACGGCTGTCCATCAAAGAGATGGAAGGACCGAGACCCTTCCATCAGCCTGGCACACCACGGAGGTGGGGACTGCCCACTGCAGGGCCACTCTCCCACCTGCACCAAGAGGAGGGACACGGCCCCCCAGGGGGCCTGGCTGGCGGACGGCTGACCCACGTGTGGAGTAGCCAGCCCACCAAGGCAGGGACCACCTCTGGGCAGGCAGCAGTATTCCTGGGGTCTCAGGGCGTGCTGTGATGGACACCCTCCACCACAGCTGCAGGACCCTGGCTGTGGGCCTCGGACAGTGCCAGAGTCCGAGGGCAGGGAGGCCAGTGTTGGTGAGCCAGGACGGTTCTTTTCACCGGTGGTGCCAGGTCACATGTGCACTGGACAGCAATCCCAGGTCCAACACTGCGCTGCAGTCATCACTGGACACCAACCAGTGACCATGACACCATGTGGGAAGTACGAATGCTGGCCTCCTGTGGAGGACGACACCTTCCCGTGGCCACACTGACCCCCACGTGGAGCCACCTCCGGCCTTCCCGGGTCCTGTCAATCACTCCTGCTGACTCCAACGGCTTCTCCTGGATCCTCTGTGGCCCCTGCCCTCGGCCTGCTGGGCAGCCGCGGCCCAGTGGGCCAGTGCTGCCTCCTGTCCCGCTCAGCTCCAGGCCGTGCCCTGCCCCACAGCTCTGGGCTCGTCCCACCCAGCGCCCTGTCACAGCTGCCCTCCACACCTGCGGGTCCTCTTCCTCCCTCTCTTCTGTCCAGTCCTGGCTTGGGGTCACCCACGCAGGGTCTCCTGCTCCCCTTCAGCTCCAAGCCGTGGGCTCCTTCTCTGCCCTCCAGGATGCCAGTTCCTGTGGGCAGGAGGTGCCACCTGGTCCGGGACCAACAGAGTCCCCATGGCACCTGCACAGAGGCCTCACTGTCATCCCTGGCCACTCTGGGTGGGCACCACTGCAGCCTCCCTCCAGCTGTGGAGCTGGCATCTAGTCCAGCCAGAGGACGTAGCGAGGGCGGCAACCTGGTCTCCATGCTCGGCCGATGGCCTCAGAGCCCCCTTCGGCCGGCCCCACACCTGATGAGCCTCCCTCAGCCCTGCTGACCCCAGGACCCCTCCCCTGTGCCGAGCCCTCCTGCCCAGCTCGGAACCCTGTGCGCCTCCCAGACCCCTCATCCCAGGAGCAGCCCCAGTCACCATCCCTGAGCCACATCCGGGTGAAGCCGTCCCAGCTCTGGGGGACTAGAGCTGGCAACGGGACTTCAGGGGCCCGGTCCAGGTGTCCGGCGTGGGGGCTGCGCTTGCCCACGCGGCGCACCAGCTCCATCGCGGCCTCCACGCTCCCCCTGCTGCTGGTCGGGCTTCCCCAGGGCAGCTCCTGTCGCTGCTCCCCAACCCACCTGTAAAGTGAAGACTGGCAGCTCCACCAGTGGCCAGTGCCCAGAGGGACTCTGGGAAGGGGGACGGCAAAGACCCAGGCATCGTGTCCATGGGATCCAACTGCAGAGACCAGCCGTGCTGGGGCCACGGCCACCACCAGCAGCAGAGGATCCATGGGGAACCTTGTGCTGGCCGCTCGGGCCACACTGCTGGTCTCAGAAACGCAAATCTGGGACGGATGTCCCCCACCCTGTCCCGGGTCACACTGGGCACACCTGCCTTCCCCCCGTCCCCCGGCTGCGCACTGTTGGCTTGGGCCACTCGTGAGGCAGGAGTCCCCCGCGGTTGGACGACAGGAGCAGGGGCCAGCAGGCCTCAGGAAGCCCAGGCAGAGCCCACTGGAAAGAACTCAACCTGAACCCTGGGGCAGAGCAGAGGGACGCGTCCAGGGGAAGGACGGGCTGGGGTCACAGCAAGGCGCGCAGGTGGCCCTCCTGCCGGGCGGAGAGCGCGTGCACTCACACCCTTCTCAGAAGCCTCCCAGGGACACGGTGGCAGGGCCTGGGCTCGGCACCCAGCGGCAGGCCTGGGGCCCACAGCACACACAGAGTGCTGCTCGCATCCACACCACCCCGCGCCGGGCTCCTGGTCTGCCGGGGCCCAGGGACAGATGATATCCAGAGCCAGAGAGCAAACGGTGGAGCAGTGGCCACTGCTGGGGGACGAGGAGCCCGGGCCAGAAGGGCACCAGGCGAGGGACCTGCTCACCAGCAAGGCAGCCCCTTCCCCTCCCTCTACCAGAAGAGCAGCTGGGCCCCCAGGACTTGCCATGCTGCCCAGGTGCTGCAGAGTGGCCGACCCGGGAAGGGCCTGTGGTCTTGACCCCCAGCGAGAGGACGGACACAAGGAGAGCTCCCCGAGGATGGTCAGGGAAAGCCAGGGCAGGAGGCCCGAGGCCCTGGGAGGCCCCGCGCACGGCCTTCCCAGAGGCCCGGCCCTGGCCCTGCCTGGCCGTGTCGATTCCCCGTGAGGCCACAGCAGCGCTGGAGCCCGACAGAGACGGAGGGTCTCCCTGAAGCCCAGCCTCAGCTGCCAGAGGCAGGGACCCGGGCACTTACCCTGGGCACGCTGCAGACCATTTCCACAGCGAGTAAAGACGCGGTCCTCCACTGCGTGGAATTCCCAGCAAGACCAAACTCACTCACTGGGTCCCCTTCCTGCCCGGAGGGATTTGCAGACCCCACCTGTCCAGGGCAGCATGAGTGACAGATTACATCAAAGGCGGGGGACCCCGAGGCACAGAAATGCTAATGCCACCCAGAGATGGAGGACGGTTCTGTGAGGGCAGCCACCCCGGCCACCAGGCCCCACCTTCTCTTCTAAGTTTGCTCAGGGCACTGCCCCACAGGCTGGGCCGACTGGGGCGGCACGGGTCAGAGGGCCCTGGGCTGGGAGACGGTCTGACCACCAAGGCCCCTGCTGGGCACATGGCTACCGCCTTCTATTCACCTCTCAGAAGGACGCTAACATACAATCTACCTGTGACCCCCGTATCACGGCCACCCTCACACTGTCCACAGGAGCCAACTCCCGAGGCCCTGGAGGTGACCAAGGGCCAGGGCAGCAGTGGAGTCAGCAGAGGCCCACCTGGCAGCCTGTGACAGTCGCGGGCAGGTGACAGGGTCAGGACAGGGCGCAGAGTCACTGTCTCTGGACCCTGGAGGCGCAGTCAGCATCTGGCTCCAATGTGGCCGACGCTGAAACCATCTCCACAAGGAAACCTGCACCTGGAGAGCAGAGCCCAGCCCGGAAGGCGCCTCGGGGCCCGGAAGGCACGTCGGGAACTGGAATCACCGCCCGCGACAGAGGATGGGAAGGGGACCAGGAAGACCAACAGGAAAGGAGCAATGGCTCAAGCGGCTGTTCAGAGCAGGGCCCCGGTCGCTGCTGCCAGGGGCACGGCCTGCGGTCACCGCTCCCACAGAGGACCCTGACCACGCTGGCACTGATCTGAAAGCGTGTTTTTCTGTTCCTTGCAAGTGATCCCATTTAGCTCGACAGGGACAGATGACGTTCAGCTTAACTGGAACAGGAAATAGGTCACACCCAGGTTTCACTGAACTGACTCCTTAGAGCCTCTCCAACTGCTCAGCTAGCCAAAGGCCAGCAGCTCCTGCACTGCCCTGCCTCCTGCCCTCCCCCTCAGCTGCTCTGAACAAACAGGCTCAGCCCCCAGGGCCTTTGCACACGTTGCACCGTCCCCCCAGGCTAAGGCCCCAGCTGCCTCGCTGCCTCTCCTGCCATGGCCAGTCTGTCTGGTTCTGAGTCACACCTCTGGTCACTCCTTGGTGCTGCCCACTACTTTGGCCACTCAGCAGCTGGCCCAACATGAATTACGAGTTGGAACTTTTAATTATCCGACTGTGTGGACGAACCTGCTGGGTTTTTGTAGGTCTGCTCTTTACCAGGGGCGTGCTGGGCTTTCAGGACTGTCCAGCCCAGCACCTGGGGACCCCGCCAATGTACCTGGAGTGAATGAACAACAGGGCCTCAGGTCAGAAGACCTGTATGCGTCATCCAGGGCGCTTTTAGAAAGTCAGTTGACGTCTGCTGCACTCTCACGTTTATTACCCAATTTAATCCCAGCAACTCACAACAGGGCCTTGTGGGAGACAAGGCGCCCCCAGGTCACCCGGAGGACGGCGGGTGTGGTCAGGTACCCAGCACCGCTGAGAGCAAGTCTGTGGGCATCAGGAGCCTCCACAGGGCCATCTTGCCTGTGGGCTCTACCCTCGGCTGAGCTCGGGCCGCAGGCTTCACCGAGGTGGCCCAGGGTAAGACTGAGTGGGTGGCCCCGGCCACAATGTCAGGAGTGGCCTCAGTGAGGTAAAGCACAAGTCCCCCAGGCAGGAGCTGGAGCTGGTGCCCAAACTGAGACTTGGCCCCTTCTGGCCATGAGCTGGCCCCGTCCCCAGGACGTCTATCACAGTGTGGTCACCAGCTCTGGGGCCCAGGCACAACGCCTGCCCTGCGGGCAGTAGGCGGGTCGGTCTGCATGGGGACCCTGGGCTGCCCTGTTCCCAGCAGGCTGCGCCGCAGGGTGAATTCCCGACGAGTGTCCACGTCTTCCAGATTGTCCTTTTCTCAAAAAGTGAAGCGTCCCCAGGTCTGGAGAAGACGCGAGGCACAGGCCGCAGGACGGGTCAGCAGCCCCGACCCTCTCACCAGGGCCCTCCCCTGGGGGCAGACGGGGGACTGGCCACCCCTGCCTTCTCCGTGGCTCAGCCAGTCCTGACCTTCTCCCAAGTTCCTGAGAGGCCCAGAGGGGCGTGCCCGGAACCTCGGTCACACCCAGAATGGCCCTGGGTGGCCCCAGCCTGGCAGAAACCCATGGCGGTGGAGTGGGCAGACCCTCCGCGCCAGGCCTTGCCCAGCGGGGCTCCCTGTGCACTGTTCCCCGCGGGGCTCCGGGCCGGCTGCAGCTGGACTCCACCCAACCCCCTAGTGAGATCGGAGTTCACACCAGCTGCCCCCGGGACCTGTCAGTCAGGACGCCAACAGGTGACATCAGCACCCACGCTGAGGGACAAGCACCGTCAGGGATGACACCCGCAGCGCTCTGACACAGGAGCCCATCAACCCCGCTGCTCCTCCCCAAGGCAGCTCCCTGTGCGGGCCACGAGCCGGCACCCCCGCCCAGTGCTGGGGCGCTGAGCTCCCAGGTCTCACCCCAAGCCCTGCCCCGGGTGTGGACACCAGGAAAGGTGGACAGGCGGAGGCCCTGAAGCTTGCTGTCCTCCCTTGGCAGCGCCTGGGCTGGGCAGGAAAACGCGGGAGCCGGGTAGTTCATGGGGTGCAGGCCCCCCGCTCAGGAGCCCCTCAGACCCAGGCGGCCCACCCACAGCCAGCCAGGACCGAGTCCCACTCTCCTGGGAGCAGCAGCACCAAGGCCACTTCAGGCCTCGAGGAGGGCTGTGTCACCCAGGAGTCTGGCCAGCCCCCGAGGCAAGCCACCAGTGTCTGAGAACCTGCTCGAGACCAGCCTGGACCGGTCCTGGTACTGAGCACTTGTACTGAGCACCAGTACACATTATGGGGTCTGACCCTGGGGAAAGCCAGGGGCGCTACCTGTGTCCCCAACCTGCCATCTGAGGGAACTGCGGCCCAGAGAGGACAGGGGGCCCACCCGGGGCCACACAGAGGAGCAGGGGGGACACGGGCTCCCCAGCTCGGCCGCCCCGCAGCGGCTGCCTCAGGTGCCACTTCAGCCAYGACAGGAGGACCTCAGATGCCGTCCTGGGCCCGATGGACACACGTGGCACTCACGGCCCGTGTGACCAGGTGGTGAAGTCACTGGGGGACGCCCAATGGGAGCCTCCAGCAGGGACCCAGGAAGCCACCGAGCTTGCTCCTGAGGGAGCCCCGCCCAGCGGCCCTGAGCCCAGCAGTGAGTGACACTCGGTAGAACCGCGTGGCCAGACGAGTGCAAAGCTGAGCCACAGGCCCAGGACAAGGTCCGGTGGAGCGTCTGCCGCCCGGCCAGGGCCCTGAACCCACTGCAGGTGGAGGAGCCGCGGGGAGAGATGCTGCCCACGTCAGACCCCAGGCACAGCCCGCTCAGCCCACTGCCCTCACGGAGACCCGACGGCACCCGGGACGGGGCCACCTCTGTGCCTCTTTCCGTGGGTTTCTCACGCCCCACCCGGGTGGCAGACAGGAGACTCTCAGCCACGGGGAACCAGCCACAGTGACATGCCGTTGCCATGGACAACAGAGCCTCCCCCAAAAGTGGAGACAGTGAAGGGCTTGGCCCACTGCCACCGTGGGCACAAACTCCCACGGAGCTGGCGTCACAGTGCCAGGGCCGTGGGCACCTGCAGAGGGAGGCAGGCACGGCACGGCCAGGCCTGGGGTGTGGGAAAGGGTGGGGCGACCCCGGGACCCAGC